GAGTGTTTGGATTATGTGGTACATCATATGATTTCACCTGAGGTTGCAGGTATGGGTTATTTCAGCTGGTTCGGGCTTATTCTGAGTATAGATGTGAGGATCTGATCTTGTGTATGATTTCGGAAAGTGCAATGTGGTTCTACGGTTTACGGTTTTGATGGACTGTGAAATTTCAGCTATATTGTGTTATCAGACCTATGCGAGATGGGGTGACGTGGGATCACCCCGGGTATATGTTTGGTAAGGTCATTCAGCTATTGGTTGGCTTCTAGTACTACCCTGGGTACGCTCGAGGACGAGCGTTGGTTTAAGTTGGGGAGGATGTGACGACCCGACCCGTCGTCTCATGTGTTACTGCTCCATTTCCCCCATTTCATGCCTCTTCATGTTTCGTTATCGGTATGTGGTGTGTTAGAGTTGATTTGGATTGGTTTGGATAAGAAATGAGACACTTAGTCTCTTTAAGGAAGACTTAAGTTGGAAAAGTCAACCGGACATTGACTTATGAGTTATAGGGCTCGGATGTGATTTCCGGTGATTCGGTTAGCTTCGGGGGATGATTTGTGGCATAGGAGTGCGATCGGAATTGATTTTGGAGGTCCGGTGTAGAATTAGGCTTGAATTGGCGAAGTTAGTATTTTGGCGAATTCCGGTTGGCAGGTGAGATTTTGATCCGAGGGTCGGAATGGAATTCCGAGAGTTGCTGTAGCTTCGATATGTGATTTGTGATGTGTGTGCAAAATTTCAGGTCATTCGGATGTCGTTTGGTTGGGTTTTTGATCGAATGCGTGTTTCGGAAGTTCTTGAAGAACTTAGGCTTGAATCCGATGTGAATTGATGATTTCAGTGTTGTTAGGCGTGTTTTGATGATTGGAACAAGTTCGTATGATGTTTTGGGGTAGGTTGGTGTTTTTGGTTGAGGTCCCGGGGGCCTCGGGGTGATTTCGGGTGATCAAACGGAAGAAAATTTGACTTGGAGTGTTGCAGATTTTCAGCAGCTGTTGCAGGCATAATTTTGCCTTCGCGTTCGCATGGCATAGGTCGCGTTCGCGTAGGCCTGTTTCTGTTGGTCATCGCGTTCGCGGGTGGGACCCCGCGTTCGCGTAGGAGGAGTCTGGGGGCCCAGCTTGGTTTATTCATCGCGTTCGCGATGGTGATGTCGCGTTCGCGTAAGAGGGCCTGGGATTGCATCGCGTTCGCGTCTGGTGCTACGCGTTCGCGTAGAGTAAAAATTGGTCTGTGGAAATTTTGTTCATCGCGAACGCGAGAGGACCCTCGCGTTCGCATAGAAGGAACTGGGCATCACAGAAGGGTTAATTAAGGACATTTCATCCGCGACCCATTTGATATTTCCTCCATTTTTGAACCACCTCAAGAGCTTTTTGGTAGGACTTGAAGAGGATTTTGACGGGAATCGATTGGAGGTAAGTCTCGTGACCTAGAAACGCTATTTATTTGAAGAATCAACCTTTAATTCATGGAAATTGGAGTAAAAATTGGAAAAGCTAGGGCTTGAGTTTTTATACTTTCAAATTGGGATTTGATAGGTCATTTGAGCTCGGATTTGGGAGTTCTTGGCATGTACGCACTCGTGGTGAGACGAGGAATCCGGTAATGTAAGTTTCATAATTTTTCGAGAAGCGGGCCCGGGGCTCGGGTTTTGCTAGTTTCGAGATTTTTGATATATTTCGATTTTGTTCGATTGGGCATCGTTCCCTTGGCATGTTGTGATGTATTCGCTCTGATTTTGGTTAGATTCGACGCGCGTGGAGGCCGGTTCGAGGGGCAAAGGCGTCGCGGGCTAGGGATTTCGCCGGTTCGAGGTGAGTAATGATTGTGAATGATATCCTGAGGGTTTGAAACCCCGGATTTGCACCCATAGTGCTATATTGAGGTGACTTGCACGCCGGATAGAGAGCGTGGGGTAGAGCACCGTTGGGGATTGTGACTTGGTCCGTCCCGGTTGTTGATTTTACCGCGTATTTCGCTATGACTTGTTGGTTTTTCACTATAACTTGGGCTTATTGCCATATTTGAGGCTTATTGCCGATTTTTGAACTCCCTATGAGCTATCATCACTGTTTTTCCTTACTATTCGAAATATTATTTGAACTCAGTCCAATGTCATTACACTGTTTCATGAACTCAGCTATACTTTTACTCAACCTTGAGTTTTAACTGATATTTGAACTACTATTTGAGCTGAGCATTATTGTTCTTTACTAATGCCCGAGGGGCTTATGATTATTTTTGGACTGATTGAGGCCGAGGGCCATATGTGAGGATATGCTGAGTGATGTGAGGAGGCTTTCAGGCCTCGAGTGTATTGTGAGGAGGCTTTCAGGCCTCATATTGATATGTACAGGCTTTCAGGTCTTATGTTGATATGTACAGGCTTTCAGGCCTTATGATGATATAGCGCTTGGGTTGTAGGAGCCCCTCCGGAGTCTGCACACCCACAGTGAGCGCGGGTACCCATTTAGAATTGGGCAGTGGTAACAATGACACTGTTATACGTGTTTTGGTCAGGTAACAACGGCTGACCAGTCAGGTAACAATGGCTGACCAGTGGTAACAATGGCACTGAAACACGCGTTGGGTCAGGTAACAATGGCTGACCGGTCAGGTAACAATGACTGACTAGTAACGAAAATCATGCCCGAGGGGCGAACTTTTATGTGCTCATCTTGCATACTTATTTGCATTTTTACCTGCTATGCTGTAGTATTTGTGCCCGAGGGACGGATTATTTGCATACTTATTTGCATTTTTCTGTGTTAATCAGCACTAACTATTTTGAACAGTTTTCGTAATTATTGAAAGGACCATTTTCAAAAAGTGATTTGAACTGAGCCAAAACATTTCTAAAGAGTTCTCTGATTTCACTGTTTTTCTCGAAAATTGTACTCGGCTTCTGTACAGCCCGTTGGTTGCTTTACGTGATTTCTTGCTGCTCAGTTATTATTTACTTCTATTACTCACTGAGTTGGAAGTACTCACTTTACTCCCTGCACCTCGCGTGCAGTTGCAGGTATCGTTCACCCGGTAGCGGGTTATTAGCGGATTGAACATATTTCTATTGTAGCTGAGCAAGGTGACCGCCAGCGTTCGCGGCACCGGACTTCGTCCTTTGATTCCAGATCGTATTTTGGTATATTATTGGCCCTGTAGTTGTGTTCATACTTCTTTAGTTGCTCGTAACTTGTGACACCCCGGTCGGGTTGAGTTGGGTTGTAAATACCATTTATTATGTCGTTAAGTTGTATTTATCTATTCATTTATGTTTTAAAATTGTTAAAGAAACGAATTGGGTTAGTTGGCTGGCCTTGTCTTCATGAGAGGCGCCATCACGACCGGGTATGGAAATGGGGTCGTGACACCTTTTGTCCTTTCTTCAATTCATCGTACATTTTTTATTTTCCAAAATTTAGTTAGTAGAAAGTTTAGTTGACCTGCAATATTTTTAACAAAAATAATACTCTGCTACAATTTTCATTTGACATAATTTTGTCATTTTGGTAAACGAAACTCTCTGTAGTTAATTAATTAAATTGAATTATCTAGTATGCATTTACAAAATATTGTTTTTTATTACAATAAAAAACCTGTAAAATCACATTTGTGAAATAGAGTGAGCATGAAAAAGAAAATTCAAATGGGGCCCACTTATTAGAAAAGTTATACATGCACCACTCACGTTAGCCAAAATGTAGCCTAAGGGCTGTCAAACTGAGTTCCACGTATTATGCTTAAAGTGCAATTACAATTTTATCTTCGAGCCAGACATATTGACCAAGAGCTGCCTGGTTACCCATTTATAGTATAGTATAAAATAATGATATTGACATCTCATCCTTCTACACTATTCTTCATAACATATTCACTGCACATACATTTTTAATGAGGGGACCACGTGGGTTCTGGAGTGGTCTTGGCCTTCTCTCCAAAACTAGATGAAGATTGCCCGTGCTATCGCACGGGCCCAACATATTAAGCATTCTGCCTTTTTTTTTCTAAGTGTTCTGATGCCAATGGAATAGCTCTATCTATAAAATAAGAAACTGGACTATCATAATCAGTAGGCTTTTCAATACATCATACCAAATGGTAGGATGGTACAATATCTGCAAAAGAGGACATAAATGAATCTACAATGCTACTGCTATCCAGTCAACCATCATAGTGATTACAAACACGTATTTTTGATGTAATACCCATAAAATATAGAAAATGTGTATCTTCAAGAAAAGCAACTCATCTTACCCTTTTGAGTATCAGCTACAGTGCCCATCAGTAGTCGCTCTTATTATACATGTATACCATAAACAGAAGCAAGCAACAGACAATATAGAAGAGGTTTTATAGAAATAAACACCATAACGTATTGTCAAATATACAATTGTTTGTAGCAATTTGAAATTTTAAAATATAATATTAAGTACTCAATTTCAATACCTTTGATTAGGAGTGGCAACCTTACTCCTTTGAGTTTACGAAGTCACGATATTAATAGCATACATGTTTTGATCCTAAAAGTTTGGTTCTACGAGGTACCTAAAGGCATATTAAAGAATGTCAAATATTGCATTATAGTGTTTGTGTTGATCTCTGCTCTATAACCCATCATTGATAGGCAACCTTTTGTTTTTGAAGCAAAGCCAATATTTTGCATTATAATGTATTTCATTTCAATTGCAGCATACGTAATATAATATTCAGCTGGATGATTAAAAATTAAACTAAAAAATGTATCATTCAATGATGAAAAGTGATAACTATGTGTAAGAAAGACTTTAAGAACTTCCGGAGTAATCCATCTAAACATCTCAGATGCATTGATACAAAGTTCGAATAGGTAACATACGTTGACTGTAAAACCTNTTATAGTGTTTAGCTAATACGTAAACAAGAACTTAACTATAAACGAAAACGACGTAAAAAACGTAAAANTATTTAAGATAGAACACATACCAGTTTCTATGATTTTCACTGGAAAACTGATTGAATTTTGTGTCTCAAATCTCAGTAAGAAAATATGCCTTCCTACAGTTTTCCTCCACACTCAGCCTCTTTCTCAAAAGAGCTTCTTTCATTTTTATTGATTCCATTCCCTACAACCTTGGTTGGTTCAGTCTCTGCTTGCAAGAAAAGTATACAACAATTTCACTTACGCAATAGATCTACTATTATAAGGTCATGCATTCAACCAACTGTACTAACCAAATTTGGTGATAGTCCTGGTGAACTATCATGGCAAAACTTATTTCTTTAAGATAATTAAGAGTGACTATGGACATTTGACTCAAAAGAATCTTTAGAACTGATTGGTAATGTTATTGGGGTATTTAAAAAATACACGTATTAAGCGAGTGGAGAAAAATATAAATGTGCTAAATGGACACACAAATGATAATGGTTTGTTACTTCCAAGAATGATAAGCAAACTACTATACAGAAGTTTTAAAGTAGAAATATGGCACAGTTGTAGCAAGTGTTTACCATGGAATAGGTTATGTAGCATTTGAACATACAACAAAACAAAATTGAGATAAGTTTATTAGGTGCTCACTTTAATACAGAAGCAAACATAGAGATAAACAAATAACCACATGGTCAAGAATGTGACAGTTAAATAGATACAAATCAAGCAGCCACTTTGCTATTATCGTAAGAGCACACCATGCCTTCCTATGTGCACAACTATTAAAACTTGACATGTTTTGATTAATCTTAAGAATAAATCTTTTTCAGCTTGTTAATTCCAGTAAATCCCCAACCTAACTTCAATTAAATGATGTCCTTTTAGAAGAAACTTCCTTTCAGAGCTTTACAAATTGTTTTAAAAATTACTTCTATCATGTAATTTTTTTCTAAAGTTCCATACGCTAAGCGGATGGTAGAGCGCTTTCAGTATCAACTATATAAGAACTCAAATATTAATTAAATAACCAAATAAAGCATGTTAGAAAATGTTGGTATGAAATATCGGAAGAGAGCCAAAATCTACTTGCTTGGTCCTGGCTCTCAGTATTTCTTCGCAGACACTCACTTACTCCTAGTCTCGTACAACTATATAGGCAGTGTAAACTATGTAATTTTGTAGTTCACAAAAAAAAAATATATTATATTTTACTGCAACTAATCTTCTTTAATATCAGTTAAACCTTTTCAATTTACTACATTCGGTAGTTTTTTTCTAATCCTATTAAAATTTAAAATTTGATAGAAGTCAAAAGTAGAAGATAGAGTCTCCATGAGAGCTGGTGAATCTACGTCTGTCACGCACTAAAGTGGAAACTTGAGATCCAACATGAGTTATGGGAGTTTGAGAAAACCTACACACTACGATCAACTATCTATATAACACAAATCGAGTGCTTTGAAGCAACTCTTGTGATAACTTTTTCTCTACAAAACGTGTTTGTTGAATTTTTATTATAGAACATCACGTCTATATTATACTTTCTCTACTTAGATCATTGATAGCTCCTTCTCCAAACATCACTGTCAGATTAGTAACCAAATTTTATGAAGCTAAAACTACGGCAGGTAAAAGATAAGAAGCGATAACACAAAAATTTCCAAATAATGAAAACATAACTCATCTTTTTCATGTAAATTTGGAGGAAAATGAAATAAGTAGGATGCAGATCAAACAGTAGTTGAAATCCAAGTCAGTCACATGCTCATTCATTCTAAAATCCTCAAGTTATTACTCTTGGTCAAAATGACAAAATCTTTAAATACAAATAATGATGGAGAATCGTCAAATAATCAGCGGAAACCCCAGTTTCTTTTCAAGCTGTTTTTTAAATTTCAAAAAATTAAGACAAATTAGCATGATATTTCGAACCACAAAGCAACAATATACAACACCCCTGAAACAAAACAATTACAGAGCACATAGAAATGGAATAAAATATAGCAGTAAAACTAACCTTTCGACTATGATCTTAATGGAGCAATTACGGAAGTGTGAAGAAACTCAGCGAAACCCCCAATTTTCTATTAAAGTATCATTTTTTATTTCAGAAATCGATGTGCCGTTAATGAACACAAAGATTTTAAAGTCATAAGAATGGCAGATTAAACGATGAAGAAAGAGAAGCGATGGCAATTCTAAACAAACGAAAGGCAGAGAAGCAGCGCAAAGTTTTCCTAAAGCCAAGCGGTGGCCGTCATTCCCATCACAAGGTGGAGCCGAAATTACCTATTTAGTCTTTCTCTGAACATACAAATCAACATATGCGGGGGCACAACAGATATTTTATCCATCATAAAACTGAGAAAGACCAAATTGCCCCGGCAAGCAGGGATGTCGACGGTCTTGTGCTTGCTTTAGGGCACTTCTATTAGTAGAAATATATATATTCTCGAGAGATAAATAGATACAAAATGAGTAACACACGGAATTGAAAAAAGAAAGGGACGGAAAAGCAGAGAGAGAAAACAGAGGGTTGATAACACCTATTTTCCACCATTAAAAGGACCTCAAAAACTTCATAACCCAGCAGCAAACCCACCTGCAAATTCCCAAAAAACACAACTGTAACACCGTCCAAACACTTATCTGCACCAGATCCGCTGTCCACATTAAACACAACAGATCTGAAATCCATCAACCACCCACTAACCGAGGCTCTTTTTCTTTCTTAAAGTTCCGGTCAGCTCTTTCAGCTTCGGTGTTCTCTGGTCGAGTAGAGTTCGAGTTAGTCGGCGATATTCGAGTTTCTCCGGCGAGGTTCGGTCAATCTTTTGCCTGTCGAGGTCCGGTCGTCGTCCTGTGCATTGTCAAGTTTCAAAACAGTCAGAGTCATATTCATTTTGGAGATCCATTTCTCACTCTTATCTTTCCCTTCAATCCTGTATATCAATTTTGATGGAATAAAGTCTTTGTTGCGTGTGTGCTTGAGATTGTCAATATGTTCGCATGGGTTGGAATTCACGTTGCTTTCATGTTCTTTCCCGAATAGTTTTTGGGATCGTTGTTGTATCATTAGCCTATTACTAATTAAGCTTGATTAAGAGAGGGAAAAAAATAATGTACTGATGGTTTCAAATTAGTGGAATTGGTTCGTGGGGTTGGGAACTTAAGATAAAGAAGGTAATTTGCACCTGTTATTATTCTTTTGTTTTTATACGTTAGGAGCATGTTTTAGGCCTATCATATTTGGGTAGGCAAAATTTTAGGGCGTTTATGTTTTAGTTTTGTTAAGGCGAGAGGTTATCCCTTTAATCGATTATATTATTCGGGAATGGCCTGGCGAGCTTGTGAAGGAAGCATAGTGTAGTATTTTATTTTTATTTTTATTTTCTTTGTCTTTTATATAGGTAGGGACAACCTCGAACCTTGTTGTGTTTGTTTTTTTTTTGTGTTTTTACATCAATTCGAATATTTTAAAAGCCAACTAGGTCGGTTACGCAACCGTACTAGTTACGGGACTTGGGAAATGCCTAACACCTTCTCCCCGAGTCAAATGAACCTCCTTACCTGAAACTCTGGTGCATTCAGTTTTCGAGTCCAAACGTATTTCAAAAGAACAAATTATTTTAAAAAACGGTGATCTGACACACTAAAACCAAATATCAGGTGGCCGCTCTGAAAAAAATTTTGAACACAAATTCTTTGTTAGATTTAATTTGGAAACCCTTTTTGAGCTTCTAAAATCACTTAATCTATTTTAAGAGGGTAAAAAAGGGTGTGACAAATACAAATGAGCTGGAGATGTACCTGTTATCGGGTATATTTATCTCGACTTGCTGCTTTCCGCAGAGGTCCATTTCTAAAGCCCAAATATATAAAATGGCAACATAAGTCATGAGAATCGTTCTCCTTAAAGCTTAGTACGATACGAAAAAAAGAAGACAAACTTTTTTGGGATCAAAATTCCGTCAGGCATCTACAATTTGAAACCATATCAGTTCTCGCAAAAACACGTTGCTAGTTAGAAGCTGACATCTAAAGTTGCAATTACAGATGGAATTGAAACTCTTAGCAGCACACCTTGTCTTTCGGAGGGAAGCCATAAGTCCCAGATTTATACAATGCAAAGGGTGATAATATATATAATCAAGTAAAGAAAACAAGGGTGAAAAGTATCTACACTCTTCAATGAGTAACTTTACACCATAGAGCTGAAGAAACAACCTCTAGCTATAGCTCATTACTTTCCTGCAATCTATAAAAAAAATTGACGCCTCAACAATTAGCTCATTACATCTAAGCAAACTATGTTTCTGTGGAGCCTTCTTTTCTCGGTCAGATATCCGAGCAGGAACATTAGAATGCGATTTGAACCAGCATTAGAATGCGATTTGAACAGGAGCATTAAAATGTTTTGAATGTCATAGGCATCAAGCGTGTCATCATAGAGCACATAGTGAGATGACATCAAGGGAAGCTAAAAAGTTCAACAAATCCCACTTCAAGTTTTGCATATACTTTGTGACAAGTTCCTGATTTTAGCAGGAAAAGAAGCTTGGTTGCTTGCTGACATGTTGACAGAATATTCAAGGCACAAATTGATTTCTACAAGAAATGTGAAGTTTGGGAAACAACTGCTATGAAGCGGGAAATGGCACGGCTGTTGGGAAAATAATAATAATCCCGCCCATGAATAATATCCACGATCAATAACAATAATACAAGAGAGTAACAAAGACATCGAATATTTTAACGGGGTAAAATACAATACCCGAACAGAGTAATATTACCACTATAATATTATAACTTGATAGTGTCAAGAGACTACTACAATTTTGAAAGAAATAACACTCTTTATTTTAAATACCTTATAACAATATTACTCACACTCACTATTTATCTCAGAGATTACGATCTGTGGATTACTCTCTTTAACTTATGTTACTTCTCTCTGCTTTTTGGTGTGTTTGAAGAAGTGAGAGAGTCCTCCATTTATAGGAGCAAAAACGTAGCCTCCAAGAATGCTATAGGAGATGTATTAATCTCCTCCACTTATTTCCAAACTTTGGCTCCAAGACAGACTTGCCAGCAAAGTTTTCTATTTCATAGGCATATATGCCTATTGTCGAATAAGATGGACCCCACAATCTCTCCCTGAATTTTAATTTTTCTTTTTCATTCCAAGTCTTGATCTCAATCTCTGAAAACTTTCAAACTTGATAGGCTTTGTAAAGATATCCGCAGCTTGATCATGAGACTTCACATATTTGAGCTCGACTTCCTTGTGGCAATGCATTCTCTGTTAAAGTGATACCTTGTATCTATATGCTTGCTTCGATCATGATACACTGGATTCTTCGCGAGTGCTTGTGCAGATTTGTTGTCAATACAAATCTCCGTAGCTTCAATCTGTTGTAAATTGAGCTCCTTTAATAATCTTCTTAGCCAAATAGCATGATATGTACAGGATGTTGTTGTTACATATTCACTATCACAAAATCTTACAAGGTTGAAGTCACTAGAAGAAGAGTAAAATAATACAAAATCAATCGTACCTTTTACGTAACGAAGAATTCTTCTAGCGACTTTCAAGTGAATGGAGTTAGGAGCTTCCTTGAAGCGACTTATTACTCCAACTGCAAAGAGTATATCTGGCCTGGTATAAGTCAAGTACCTCTAACTTCCCACAAGACTTTTGAAAAATGTGGGATCCACTTTTTCTCCTTCATCAAACTTGGACAATTTTGTCCCACCTCCATTGGCGTGTTCACGGGGTTGCAATCGAGCATGTTGAACTTCTTCAATATCTCTTTTGTATAGCTTTCTTGAGAGATAAAAATTCCATCATCTATCTGCTTCACTTCTAGGCCAAGTAGTATGACATGACCCCTACATCCGTCATCTCGAACTCACGGGACATATCTTTCTTAAAAGCTTCAAACAAACTTGGGTTAAATAAAATCATCAACTTGGGTTATATATGTTGAACCTTTTTGATTTTTTTTTGTGTGTATTACTCATTTATATTTTAACTCTCTTTATTGAAAATTCGGCTCTGGCTCTATAACTGTAACGACCCGACCGGTCGTTTCATTTGTTACCGCTCTGTTTCCCCCCTTCCTGCTTCTTATTGTCTTGTTGAGCTGTATTATGTGTTATCGGGTTGGTTGGCTCGGGTTCGGAGAGGTTTTGGTAAGGTTTGAGACACTTAGTCTCCTTTTAGTAAGCTTAAGTTGGAAAAGTCAACCGGATGTTGACTTATGTGAAAAAGGGCTCGAATGTGAATTCCGATGATTCGGATAGCTTCGGGAGGCAATTTGGGACTTAAAAGTGTGATCGGAATGTATTTTGGAGGTCCGGAGTAGCTTTAGGCTTGAATTGGCGAAAATGGATTTTTGGCGTTTTCCGATTGATAGGTGAGATTTTGATATAGGGTTCGGAATGGAATTTCGGGAGTTGCAGTAGGTCCGTTGTGTCATTTGGGATGTGTATGCAAAATTTCAGGTCATTCAGACGTGGTTTGATAGACTTTTTGATCAAAAGCGTAATTCGGAAGATTTTTGGAACCTTAGGCTTGAAACCAATGTGATTTGGTTGATTCGATGTTGTTTGAGGTGTTTTTAAGATTGGTATAAGTTTGGATAGTGGTATATAACTTGTTCGTGCTTTTGGTTGAGGTCCCGGGGGCCTCAGGGTGATTTCGGTTGGTTGACAGAAAGTTAGGAATTGGGAGTTTGCAGCTGAAGATTTTTTTGGTTGCTGTCATAATCGCATCTGCAGTTGGGAGGCCGCAGGTGCGACTCCCACAGATGCGGAAGCAAGCCGCAGAAGCGGCCAAGAGGTAAGTCAGGCAGAGCCGCAGAAGCGGGCATTTGGACGCATCTGCGTTGGCGTAGGTACGAGAGAGTGACCGCAGGTGCGGTCCCAGACCTTTAAGTGAAAACTGCAGGTGCGGTGGCTAGACCGCAGAAGCGGGCCGCAGAAGCGGAAAAAGGACCACAGGTGCGGAATCCCTAGGTCAGAGAGTATATATTTCATTCTTCGCGATTTTCAGACTTTCTTCACCATTTTAAATCGGTTTTTGGAGCTTTTTGGGGGATTTTAAAGAGGGAATCAGAGGGAACTTCATTGAGGTAAGATTTTTGAACATAAAACTCGTTCCTATGGTGTTATTTCATTGATTAGGCTTGAAATTTATGGAAATTTGTGGGTAAATATTGAAGAAACTAGGGCTTGGAATTGGAGACCTAGAATTTGGGATTTGAGGGGTCATTTGTGGT